CCACAGGGAGCTCCACCGAAGGCCCCAGTGCCCGCGGCCGCATGCGTCCCCCACACCCATTTCGGCACACCCCTCACACGTTTCGTGGCTCCAGAGGGAGCTCCACGGAAGGCCCCAGTGCCCGCGGCCGCATGCGTCCCCACACCCATTTCGGCACACCCCTCACACGTTTCGTGGCTCCATAGGGAGCTCCACCGAAGGCCCCAGTGCCCGCGGCCGCATGCGTCCCCCACACCCACTTCGGCACACCCCTCAACTACGATACGTTGTCCATAGGGTAGCCTCCACCGAAGCCCCAGAGCCCGCGGCCGCATGCGACCCACACCCCTCATCACGTTTTCGTGGCTCCCATAGGGAGCTCCACCGAAGGCCCCAGTGCCCGCGGCCGCAAGGCGTCCCCCGCGGTTCCACACCGATTTCGCACACCCCTCACACGTTTCGTGGCTCCATAGGGAGCTCCACCGAGGCCCCCATTGCCCGCGCCGCTGTGTCCCCCCACACCCTTTCGGCCACAACTCCCCTCACACGCTTCGTGGCTCCATCGTGAGCCCAACCGAAGCCCCAGTGCCCGCGGCCGCATAGCGTCCCCCACCCCCATTTCGGCACACCCTCACACGTTCCGAGCTCCATAGGTACCCCTACCGAACCCCAGTGCCCCGCGGCCGCATGCGTCCCCCACATCCATTTCGCACACCCCCTCACCACGCCTCGTGGCTCAGAGAGTCATAGGGAGCTCCACCGAAGGCCCCAGTGCCCGCGGCCGCATGCGTCCCCCACACCAATTTCGGCACACCCCTCACACGTTTCGTTGCTCCATAGGGAGCTCCACCGAAGGCCCAGTGCCCGCGGCCGCATGCGTCCCCCACACCCATTTCGGCACACCCCTCACACGTTTCGTGGCTCCATAGGGAGCTCCACCGAAGGCCCCAGCGCCCGCGGCCGCATGCGTCCCCCACACCCATTTCGGCACACCCCTCACACGTTTCGTGGCTCCATAGGGAGCTCCACCGAAGGCCCCAGTGCCAGCGGCCGCATGCGTCCCCCACACCCATTTCGGCACACCCCTCACACGTTTCGTGGCTCCATAGGGAGCTCCACCGAAGGCCACAGCGCCGCCGCCCGCATGCGTCACCCCCACCCATTTCGGCACACCCCCCGCATTTCTCGCACGGCAGGGTCATCACCACGGTGGCGTGCCAGGGGCGCACCGTGCGCGAAGGCGACGGGGCGGGGGAACGGCGCTCCGGGGGCGGCCAGACCTCCGGGGCGCGAGCATTCCGCGGCCAGACCATCTCTCGGTCCTGTGGACTCTCGCCCTGGGCCGTCGGCTGCCCGGCGCGCTGCTCCCTCGGTCGACGTCGCCCAGGCGTGATCCTGGATAGCGGCCGCCACGAGGTAGGGAACGGCAAGAAGGAGGACGACGACTGGTGGCTGGAGCTCTACGTGCTGCTCTCGCGCGCCACGCGCCACGAGGACCTCCTGCTCATGCGGGCGCCGCGTATCGAGTTCTTCCTGGCAGGGCCGCCGCGGGGCTTGCGGAAGCAGCTGGAGCAGTTTGCGGCGCGCACGAAGCGGTGCAGGAGGGAAGCGACGGCCCTCGCCAGGGAGCTCGGCTTCACCGAGTTCATCCGCGAGGCCTGACCTGAGGAGCGTCTCCCACGAGCCGCGCCTTCTCTCGACTGCCCGACTAATTGTTTGGCCTCGCGCCGCGGACGACCCGCGCGCGTCGCTGGGACCCTCTCGGGGCGACCAGCGCGCGTCGCGGGAACTCCGTGCTGCGGGGGCCCGGCGCCTCGTTCGCCCGTCGTCGCTCTGCCCAGCGGTGCTTCGCGCAGCGGACGACCCGCGCGCGTCGCTGGGACCCCGCCCGGGGCGACCAGCGCGCGTCGCGGGGACTCCGCGCTGCGCTGCGCCCGCAGCCTTGGATTTTGGAGTGCGCGGGAAAAGAGGAAGGAAAAGAAGAGCCGAAAGCGGGCGCGATCCTCGCAAGAGGCGTGCCGACATGGGCGTCGCGACGTGCGGGCGCTGCCGTCGGGGTTCCCGCGGAAGCTGCCTGCGGCGGCCACGCCCAGTGTCACGTGTGTTCGGACAGGCATGCTCGACACTTACACTAGGCGGTTCCATGATCGCATTCATGCGAATATATTCACTCGCGCGCAGACCCATTCATACTCAGATTCCCTCGCGCTCTGACTCACCCGCGTTCTTTCTCTCGTAATCAGATCTATCGTATTATTTTGCGTTGTGTACCCCGCCACATTTCGGCACACCCCTCATGCGGTTCGTGGCCCCATAGGGAGCGCCACCGAAGAAGATACTCACAATTGCGATACTCACAATTGCATATGTTTGGGTCCTTCGCCAGGATAATTTTGTTTTTTTTCGTTTTGAGAGGCAGAGAGAGGGGTGCTGGGAGGGAGGCAACGGCGGGCACGGGGGCTTGCAAACAACAAAAAAAAACAAAAAACAAAAAACGCAATGTTGCGTGGCTTCGCAGACAAAAAAAAACAAAAAAAACAAAAATACACAGCGTTTCCGTGCATCGGTGGCGCCAAACACGGTGCACGCGCGCGTTCTGTCTTGATTCGGGAGGCACAGAGACAGGTGTTGGGGGGGGGAGGCGGCAGGGGAGCAACGAGCTCTCTCCCTAAGCTGAGCTTGAAAATAACCTACTACTCAACTCCCTCCGTCTCCAACACACCACCAGATACTCAACCGGATCCCTCCCCAAGCTGAACTTGAAAATGATATTCTACTCAACTCCTTCCGTCTCCAGCACACCATCCAGTACTCAACACCCTCCGTCTCCAACACGCCAACCGATACTCAACAGGCTCCCTCCCCAAGCTGAAATTGATAATGATCCCAGAGGAGCCCCGAGAAGTTGAAACCCCGAGGAGTGCAATATTTGTAGTAACGGTAAACGCCGTCCTCCTCCTTCTCCTCATCGTCGCAATTGTAGCAGTAGCGGTGGTAGTAGTAGTAGTAGTAGTAGTAGTAGTAGTAGTAGTAGTAGTAGTAGTAGTAGTAATAGTAGTAGTAGTAGTAGTAGTAGGTGTAGTAGTAGTGGTAGAAGTAGTAGTAGCAGTAGTAGTAGTAGTAGTAGTAGTAGTAGTAAGAGCAGTAGTAGTAGTGGTAGTAGTAGTAGTAGTAGTAGAAGTAGTAGTAGTAGTAGTAGAAGTAGTAGTAGTAGGTGTAGTAGTAGTGGTAAAATTAATAGTAGCAGTAGTAGTAGTAGGAGTAGTAGTAGTAGTAGTAGTCGTAGTAAAAGTAGTTGTAGTCGTAGTCGTAGTAGTAGTAGTAGTAGGAGTAGGAGTAGGAGTAGGAGTAGGAGTAGGAGTAGTAGTAGTAGTAGTAGCAATTCTATGCTGCGCTATGCTATGATATGCTGCGCTATGCTATGCTATGCTATGCTATGATATGCGATGCGATGCTGCGAGGTGCTATGCTAAGCTAAGCTAAGCTATGCTATAGTATGCTTCGCTATGCTATGCTATGCTATGCTATGCTATGCTGCGCTATGCTATGCTATGCTATGCTGCGCTATGCTATGCTATGCTATGCTAATGCTGCGCTGCGCTAAGCTAAGTTGAGCTAAGACGAAATGTATGATCTTGGGGGGGGCAATATATATATATATATATATATATATATATATATATATCGGCGGTGCCCGGTGCGGAGCGAAGCGCCCCCGGATCCCTCATCCTGGGGGGTTCGTCCTTGAAGCACCGCCGGTGCGGGCCAGCAAAAACCCCAAGGATGCACAGAATCCCCCGGGACGCACCGCTGGTGCAGACCGCGATACGACATCCCCCGGGATGCCCCCCAACCTCCAGGCCAGAAGCGTGTGGGAGCGCCCAGGCAGCGCGTGCCAGCGTCCGGTGGCGGCGTTGGCGGCGGCGTCGGCGGAAGCAGCGACGACGGCGACGACGTCAGCCAGAGAGCTCCAGAGGCCCCTGGAACCCCAATGAATCCCAGAGGTACCAAACTGTATGTTCGTGTTCCCCCTCTTGGGCCCTTCGTGGGGCCGTGTTGGGGCCCTCTTGGGCGATCTCATGTTTTTGCTGGGCAGCCACTGAAAGTGGTGCAAAGTGGCACAAGCCATGCACAGAAGTCTCAAAGCCCTGTAAAAGAGACAGCCTGAGAGTGGTGCTAGTTGGCGCGAGCCTTGCACAGAAATCTCAGAAGCCCTGGGCAACGGACAGCTACTGAAAATGATGCAGATTGGCGCGAGCTGCGCACAGAAGTATCAAAAGCCCTGCTCAGCAGAGAGCCATTGACAGAAGTGCGAATTGGTCGAGCCCAGCACAGAAGTTTCAGAACCTTAGGGGGCCACATGCGAACCCTACCCTTACACCCCACGATTTCTGAGGGGGGGGTGGGGTTCACTTCGCTCGGGGGCTCCCGAATGAAGTGAACCCCACCCTCCCCCTCAGAAATCGTGGGGGGTAGGGGTAGAGTTCGCATGTGGCCCCCTAAACCTGCTGTCGTTCCGTCTTCCGACTCCCTGTAAAAAACCTGAACGGCGCACCTGAGCCTGCGCCTCTCGCCCACGGCCAACTCATGCCCCTCGGTCCGACAAGCGAGGAACATAGGGAAACGGACAAAACGGGAACCGACTGAGGAGGAGGCGGAGGATAGGGAGGGTGAGGGAGGGCGGAGGAAGCAAGCCCCCCTGGTCTCAGCCCCTTGAAGCTAGGGAACGACCGTCCAGGGAAGCAGCCATCTTTTGTCAGCCGTTGCAGGTCGGAGCAGGACGGCTGTCAAGGATGCCAGCTCGATTCGGCGAGCAACGGGAGCATGTGACAGCGCGGAGTGGCAACAAACTGCTGCCAGGCAGCCGCTGAGATTGGTGCAAAGTGGCACGAACCATGCACAGAAGTCTCAGAGGCCCTGTAAAAGAGACAGCCCTCCTAAGCACAATGGAAAACACTGCCGCATGCGTCGCCCGAAAGGGCGCACTTGTCATATGCCTACTTCTCAAGCATCCCTCGTGGTCACGCAAAGGTTGCGGTTGCAACTGGCGACTCGGGGGAAGGAGCCTGGCCACTCGTCACCACTTCTTGCAAAGAGGTGCGCTTGGTACAAGACGCTGGGGGAGTCATCACCTCTTTGTGGTCGTCTTCCCCCAGCAAGCCTCCGACGGCAAACCCTGATCGCCCCAAATGCTTCACGTGCAAATTCAAATACCAGATGCCACTCTCTGTGCGTCCATGGACGACTTTCAGCTCGACCGGACCAACAGCAACCCACTGCGGAATCGTCGCGGAGCTTTGCCGTCCGCTGCAGTGATACCCTCCGGCTTGCTTAGCCTCTGCCCAAGAGCCTGTAATGTTCAGTTCTTTGAGGTACATATCCGAACAACTTCCACCCGATCGGCGCGCATCGGCCTGCACATGAAGCAATGCGTCATCAGCGCTCACTCCTCGAGGGATGTTTATCAGAACATGTTTGCCCGGCTTCATTAAATCGAACCGCTCGCCGTGAACGTTTTGAAGGTGCGGATCGCCGGTGGCAGCCACGCCTCCGGCGGCTCCGCCCGCCAT